TCCTGCTCTCCAACATCCTCTGTCCCATCCTACATGTCCGGCGAAGACCCACAAACTACATTCTGGACTGAATGGAAAGCTGCTCGCTTAGCACTTCAAGAGTGGGAGTTCTCTCCTTCTCACATTGTCTCTTCCCTTCCAGTCACTCCAACTCCCACTCAGCTTCGCGATTTTGGATATATTTCTGAGGCATTCCGTTACTCAGCTCTCTTATACACCGAACGTCTTGCATGTCCCAAAACACCAAGCTCGCATCTTAACTTCCAGAATTTGGTCAGCCAAGTCTTGTTCTATGTAACAAGTTTGGAAACCAATAGCGGATGTGAGAAGTTCTTGTTGTGGCCCCTTTTCATAAGCGGGAGTGAGTGTGTCAATGAATTGCAACAGAGTATTGTAAGACGTAAATGTAGAGAGATCATGGGGAGGTCGGGGTATCTTAATAATTTAGCGGGATTGGAAGTTTTGGAAAAGTTGTGGGCAGAAGGCAAAGATGGTAGAGCATCTCCAGATTCGATGAGAGGTCAAGGGGGGCCTTTCAAATGGAGTAAGCATATGGAGGGGAGTGAGGGTGAGTGGATCATGGTTTGAGTTGTCTATATGGCTGGGGTATTTGTTTCTGATGACTTGATGACTACTTGTTTTCTGTTCTTGTTACGATGATATCCATTGTTGCTCATGCCATATTTAACATGTCTTTCAAGTACGTTATGCCAAGCCAGGCCTTTTTTTCCTTTGCATGTTTATTATAGCCACAATGCTCTTTTCCTTTGCACAACCTGGATAGCGATTGTGTTTCGTTGTTGATTTTATCTACTGGGGGAACTTCTGGTGCATGGAGTGGTGGTCGGTAGGAATAATGGGTATTGGTCGTGGGCTGGTATGGTTATGAAAAAAAATATGTTGGGGCATGTGGGCGTCACCGGTGCGAAAAATGAAGGATGTCCACTCAATCATGTTATGCCTGCGCCCTCTATCTTATGAGTTACGAATTATGTCTTAGGAAAAAAATTATAGACAATATAAGCAATATTTGATATCGTGTACATTGACTTCACACAATAGATTATTGAATGCATTTCGTCTAAGTAATCTCAATCCATACACAAAATGATATCCATTCTTGATCTCTACCACGACAGGGTTTTCTTCATGTTTCAGTTTGTTACTTGAAAATTTAAATGGACTTCGACGTCACGACATATCTTCACTTACAGACAAATGTGCAGCCACTGGTCTATAACGTACAGATTAATATAGAACGAATGCACAAGGCCCGAAAGTCCTCCTATCTTATATATTGATCTGCATATGCACCGTTCATCTCTAATCACACCGGTCCCGAAAATAAATGATGTGAAGCGCGAAGCGAAGAAACGGAAAAAAACCATAAAATTTTAAGTCCGAAGGTGGATTTAGCCTATCTTTCGTGATGCGATATGGAATTGTCGAAATGCCTCAGTTGCAGATAAACCAAGCATTTTCTCGCATATACGAGAAAAAGCTTGGCTTAAACTTAAAAAGGAAAATTGTGCTTTCTCTCGGTAGTTGAACTGGATCCCGTCAAGTGCCAAGTACGAGCATAGGGAAGGAGTGGAGTATGGAGGGATTCTTTGCGGATTGGTGGAATCGAGTGAGAGAGGCAGTGGAAGTGAAATTAAGCAAGTCTAAGCGTTGCGTAGTAGGAGGTCGAGATCAAGGTCGTGGACGGCACGGCACGGCAATGTGATTCGGGAGTAATCTGATTGATGGGTGGATGCGAAGTGGGCGGATGGAGCTGTGACATGAATGAAGGAGAGGGGAAATTTCCTTAGCGGGTCCGCTCTTGGCGTTATCATTGCATGGCCACACATATCTTGGAACGAGACCGTGCATCCAAATTGAAGATGTTCAGGCTCATGCTTGAAGCATTGGAGGTAGCAATATCAAGTCGGTAATCTACTCCGTGGTCCTTAACCTCAGTTGTGGTGGACGATTGACGATCCCTACATTGTATATGTTCGGATCTGGTTCCTTTTTATGGTTGGTCACAGCGCTTGACATGCGGGACGATCCACATGTAATATCGACAATCTTTGTTGGCAGCTTAAAGTTGATTAATGCGGATCATCTACTCTTTTTATGTGTTCAACGCCTTCGCCAAGGTACCGAAGCCTCGGTTGCGGATATGTCTGTTCCAAAAGCCTCCTAATCTCCGGAACTCAACACACGAAGGGATCTGGAATAGTCGTCAATTTCTCTCAAGATTCCTACAATTCTTCCAATTGAAGGAGATACACCACAAGTGGCACATGTGGATATCTTCAGTGTCTGTAGATTGATCAGCATTCTAGCCAAACCCTAGAATCCTGAATGAGATGTAGATATTTATCCGGGCCAGATTACTATGACACCGGCAGGATACTAAACCATTGAAGCGATTTAGGAGCTGTATGCCACATAGACTCCGATCTTTCTCAATCTATGGAAGTTAGGCCAGTCAGAAGTTTATGGACAAGCCAGAACTTAAATCAAATTCAAACTATCAAACATAATCTCAATTTCTGAGTGGCGGTCATCTCTGCGATTGCAAGGAAACTTTCTGCTGAAGCTTGTATATCAATAGTCAATACCCTCATCCCATGTTTGGAATCAAGTTGTTGTTGATATATCTGATATGTGGAAGAAGAGAACGTGAAGATCCCTTGGGAATGCTCTACGTAGACAGATACTGGTACAAGCTCAGTCGTCTGCCTTTCTTTTTCTCTTTGAATATTTTTACTTTCGTGTGTATTGCGAGTCTCATCGCTCCTTCCTAACGGTCATCAAGAGAATTGGAAAAGGGTACTTTGTTCTTACCCTAATTCAATTCTCCGAGACTCCGCTGGGAGATGAATTACTCGATTACGACATTATACCTTCAGAATAACATTTTAAAAACCATCATAAAACTATTCCCGGCAGGATGCCCCCTTTAGAGTGCCCAGACGAGAAAACCGCAATAGCTAATTCGCAAAACACCTGTTACCACCGAGGTTGGTGGTCACAATGTATAGTCCAGTATAGGATGAACTCAATGTCCGGAGTTGGAGTAAGCAACTCACTACTTCCATTGATACCATTCAAGTGGTATATTTCGTCGATTCCCATACACATGAGGTGAGGAATTCAGACAAAGATGAAAGCCTAGTCAATTCCAATTTGATATTTTATCAAGTTTTAAACCCCCGATTTGCAGCCGCTTGCACGACAAGATGGTCGCCGTGTATCGGCCCAACTGAGAGAATTAACTGAGCTGACAGAACAAAAGCAAGTCCTTGATGATTGGAAGCCGCATCCTCACAATACCAACCTATTTTCCAATTCTTCCATCTAGACTAGGAGACACAACACTTCGAAAACAATCCTCTTGATTTTCTACACAATAACCACGCTCGTTAAGGAGAAGTGATCAGAGCGCTCTAGAAAGATGGCCCAGATAGAGGCTTGGCACCCATAGTTTATTTAGATTACACGAATACGAAAATTTGGAACTCACATCCACGACTCCAGTTCCTATACTAGAGGATAACTCACTGCATTATCAAGGAGTCCCCTCCTGGAAGTTACAAAGGTAGCGTTCGAGTCTGGCAGTGATTTTCATATACGAGACGCAGAAGTTCGTAGTAAAGATCATCAAATTCCCCTGAAAGGCTGAAAGGCAGCAAAAACGTCGGTATCCATAGTTGATTAGGCTAATGACTGCTGAAAATAATTTGGATCAAACCCCGCAACAACCTTCACATTTCTCCCATAGCCGAGTGAACTTTTAAATTATGCAAGAGTTTCTGGCGTTTATTTACAGATCTTCCGTCTAGTCCAATGTATCTTTGTTTTAGGTGCTGATCATGAAAGCTGGGCTGATTAGGGTGCAAGAAGAAAGCTACTCTTTCGATCATTTATTGAGTGAGTGGCAGATGGACACAGTTTAATAGAGTTATCTCAATAACGTTCGGGCTTCCTGGGCAGACCAATGGTACGATTTACTGCAAGATTGTGAGCTACAGACGTGTGATTGATGGAGCCAGGACCGGACACATAAGATGCGCTTCTCGTGCGAATAAAGAGGAAATTTTGAAATAGCTTCAAGAGAAGAATCAGAGACTGGACATTGCTTTCATTGACTGTTGCCAGATTGACAAGCTTAGGATATTCAAGCACCGCTAGTCTTTGACGTCTCAACCTCAAAGCCTACAAATCCCGGAACGAAAGTTAAGCAAAAGTGATGAGAGCAAAAAGCGAGTGTCTTTTGCTGTGCTAGATGTTGATATGTTGCGGTGCAATCAAGGTCTAAAGATGCAAATATTTATCGATGCCAAATTTGTTGAACACGAGCGGATTCACGGGAGAGTTGTCCAATTTAAAGATCGCAATTTGATTTGGAGGAAATTCGATTGTGATTATGGACAACTGCATGGACCTTCTCATTCGAATCACGCACTTTTTAGCAAAACATATTGTCATTTGTAGGAAGTACATGAGTGACGTCCTTGCGGACTTGAGATTCGTATAGCTAGGTGACATCCTATCGGATCGAAAACGTCGCCCTATTTCTCTGCCATAACACATATTATATATATACAAACGTCTTATCGTTTCTTCCCACCAGCAGAATTGTTACCACCTGGCCCGCTCTATCCGGTTCTGCGAGCGTCGAAATTTGCCGTGGCTGGAAGGCGTCCCGCATCCTTCGAAATGACATTCAAGTTGCCGTATGAGTAGTCGCCATGTTCCAGTTGACGACCAACTGGCGCCATCCACCTTCGTACATACTTCTTGCCTGATCATGATCATAATCAATCGCGTCATGGTCCTCCCATCATTCATTCCCTTGATCAATCAATGTGTTGGTGTCCAAAAGTCTCGTTATCCGAACCTTCATCATCGGAGAAATAGACTGGGATCCCGATTCTCTGAATACAAAGGTTGAAGGAATCAGCCGCAGCAAATCCAAAGCCCCACTTGATGATTTGACGAACGTCCTTTCAGACTTGCTCCTCCTGCGCATTAGGACGAACATTGTTATCCATCACGAATCTAAAGTTGATGACCGTCCAAAGCTTGCTATACACGTAATAAAGTTGGTTGTTGCTAGCAGTTCGTGCAAAGAACAATTCCAAGTCTTCCCTTGCGGTATCGGACCGACAAGTCTCTTTGAATTTATCTGTGCGTATAGCTTCTGCAATCATGCTAGAAGTTACACTCCGCATTCGTTCCAGAATTCCTCGCTCTAGATTTGACACGTATTTGTTGACGGCATGACGGTAGTGAGCACGGTCGTGGCTAGTGCCAGTATACCGGGTGAGATATGCAGGCTGTATGCGAACGAATTCATTAGGCTCAATGGCCCTCTGCAGTAAGTATACCGACTTGACGAGGCTCATTTTCAAAGGAGGCAGATCAGACGAGCACTCCTCATTGACCTTTAATCTCTTCCGCTGGTCCGCAACTTTGGGTAGCTGATTGAGAGTAAAGAATTTGGACACTGGAATGTATTCCATATTTGCCTGACAGTAAATATGTTAGTGAGTGCTATAGTGCAATAGTGAATAATAAGTTACTTACTGTGATCAGTTCGTCCGTTGACAGCAGCTGAGAATCTTTCCACGATGCTGGATGATCGACTCGATCTTTCAGATCGTTAATGTAGTCTTCCGTGGCGCGGAAGTCGCGATTGTGGGTGATCAGCGGTGGGGGGATAAAAACCATCTTTTGGAGTTACGATGGGTCTTGTTGTGTATAGATCGAAAGTGAATTGGAGATGTAACAAGTAGAATTAAAGATCGAGAGTTGTTTGACGGAATAAGAAGAAGAATTGAAGACGCTAACTGATTTGGAGGAATAAGAAGAAGATCTAAGAAGAATTGAGGAAAGAAACGGAAAAGTGAGAGAACATTTAAATGAAGAATTCTTAAGCGACCAGGCTCGGTAAACATTCCCGTCCTCTCATGTACCAGCGTTTGTTTCTACCTATATTAGGGTATACAAGTAACCAGCATTTAGAGTCAAAATGGCAGAGAAGAGTACTGAGTTAGTATCTACCGTAAAAGATTTTGAAACAACTTACAAGCATATCATGAGTCTTGCCCAAGGAAGGGTCGATACTCCTCTGGATTTTGGCGTTGGCCTCTCATGATTCATCACTTCAACAGAAAATATCACAGTGCAAGTATGAAGTCCAAATTTCGCCTTTTGAATCATAATTTTATGGGCACTAACTTAAATGGTGTCAAGAACAGCCTCCAATTTACGAACCTATGAGGTCGAGTTCTTTCAGAGAGAACCAGTGGAGACCAATGGTCTAAAGATCCGCATGTACCACACAAGAAAACACCTCGGCACTCTCCACAGCTTGGAAATGCCATATAATTTCTTAATCATGGAATGGACAATGATCAGTTAATGTTCAGCGAGCCACCAAACATGAACTGCTACCCAGAGCCGAAGCTTCACTTTCAGTTTTGGGAGACGCATACTTATCTTTGATACCCAATCTTGATCTTGAGCCTCGATCTTGTTCTACACGTTTGAGCTCAGCTTTAGCTCTGAACTGATAGCTTCAACAATTTGCATCTTTCAACCCGACACCTGAGTCTCTAGCATTTAGTTTCCTTCTCCTCACCGTCTTCTACGATAACTTCCCTTTACAACACCTCACAAAAAGGGATCACCTTATTGAGGTATGGAAGAGAGTTGAAATATCAGATTCCGGTCAAAGAAGAAGTCAAAACCTTCCTAAAGGCGGTCGTGCGGGGGAATAAGCCCACCGTTGGTGCAACCACTAGAGATACAGATTTGAAGGAATTTGGAACTGTAGCAGGTGCTGTCATTCATGCCATCAGAAGTAAGATTCAAGGGTTTTCTGTCGCAAAATTATGAATTATCACTAATTTTGATTTCCAGAAGCCGATATATCCTCTGATTGGGGCTGGCAAGGTCGCCATTGTGAGGCAGGTATGATTTGATTTAGCTTTAAGAAAAATCGAGGGATTTGCACAACTCACTATCTCGATGCTAGTTAAATATTCCGAACATAACTGGATAATTTATTGCGACTTTTATGCGGCACATGACATCGACGTAAAAGCAGTGGCCGGCATCATGGACGTTGACAACCACATTGTCTGAGGAGGCCACATAACTTCTCTCATTATCCGGGCATCACGTTGGATATCACGCTTGCAAGCCTCCTGAATGGAATTGAAAAGGCAGCTGTGTTTGTGAATGAACCCTTCATTCTGGAGAAGGATCCTGCGTATGGTTTTTACTCCAAGCGGCGAGTTGGCCTTCAAGATTGGGGTGTGCCAGAAAGCAAGCACAAATGCCGTTAACAAGACCAGAAAGATGTCGTATCTTTTGGCTCAGAACATGAACCATAGTACCAAAATGGGCCATGGGCTACATGAAGAAAATGGGCTGGGAAGAAGGCCAACCTTGAAGACGATGTCGAGTATCCGAAAGCCGTGAAAAATATCTCTTTCGGGCTTCAGCGGTCTGGGATATGATAAACTCTTAGAGGCCACGGAGGAAGGTGAAATGGTTGTTTGCCACAATCCTCGAAACTAATCGCATTGGGCGGACTACAAATTCGACGTATCAAAGCCAAATCACGAAGAGTGCCATTACTACAAACATGAGATGATATTCCTCTCAAAAGACAATGAGGAAACGTGGGAGATGGCTGCTGCAACTCTGCTAGGAGTCCCTCGCAAACCCTGAAACGAATTTCACGTGAGAAAAGAGCAAGAGAGAGTGCGCAAGAAAGCCAAGATGGAAGCTTTCAGAAAGTGCGGAAAGCGGGGTGTGTTGAAGGATGAGTGTATATTTGTTCAAAGCGCGCAGCAAAGTAGACGGCTTGGCTAATCAAGGATTTAAAATTCATTGTTCCAACGGCAAATTTAAAGGTGTTGCTTCTAATGGTTCGTCGAGATGGAAGTGAGGAATTTTGGCCATGTAAATTTAACGTACAACCAACATCCACGTATTGTAGAGATTCTGTATATAAGAACATATAAATGAGATGCAAAACGTTTGAAGATAACGGATGAGCCATGAATGGTCCACAATTGAATAGAGATGTAATAGAGAGGTTTGTGTCGTAGAAAATGGAACTTTAAATATTGGTATCTTTGCATCATATATGTACACGACAGCGACAACGATGGCTACAACGCCAGTTGCCATATTATGAAATCCTAACAGTCTATCTGACTGCATAAAGCCTATAGTCTCGTGCCTAAGTTGATATGAACGGCTTTGACTTGTGAATAGGCTAAAATGAGTGAAAAAAATCAGTAAAAAATCGAAATCAAATCAGAACGATGTTAAAAGGGATCCAAATTGATCGCAAATGAGGGGTGCCTACCGTTGAGCGCTTCTTCCCCTAATTCTCTGCCAATACCACTCTTTCTTTGACGTTAACAAGCTATTACACGCGTTTTCACAATGATAGGAAGGTTGACCTACCTGTTTTACACCCCCAAACGGAATCCTATAGTCAGAATCCTGACTACTGTTGATCCAAACCATACCCGCCTCGATTCGCCTGGCAAGCTTATGTGCTCTGTCTAGATTAGTTGTAAAGATTGCCGAGCCAAGACCATATGTCGTGTCATTAGCCATCTCCACTGCTTCTTCTTCTGTCTTGAAGCTAGCAATGGCACAGAATGGTCCGAAAACTTCCTCTCTATAAATCCTCATGCTTGGCTTGACATCTGTGAAGACAGTGGGGGTAATGAAAAATCCCTTGCCTGAAGGATGAGCGTTTGTGAATGCTTCACCTCCGGAGAGTAGTGTGGCGCCTTCATCTTTACCTATCTGGACGTAACCGAGTACACGGTCGTACTGAGCTTTAGTGACTTGTGGACCTTGGAATGTGTTTTCGGCGAATGGATCACCAACGACTGAAACCTCTTTGACTTGCTTCCTGAAGGCGTCAATGAACTTGTCGTAGATAGAATCCTGCACGAGGATTCTAGACGTGGCGGTGCAAATTTGACCTTGGTTCGACATAATACCTAGGATGGATTAGCAAATAGGAGATTTGAAGGATTGTGCTACAGGAGAAAAGGACATGACACGGCATGTGGCTTTCGGAATAAAAACGTACCAAAATGCGCCCATTTGACAGCCTGGTCAAGATCTGCATCATCGAATATCATCAAGGGAGATTTTCCTCCCGTCTCCAAAGTGATATTTTTCATGGTGCCAGCAGCCATCTTCATAATTTCTTTTCCTGTGCTAGTGCTACCGGTAAAAGCCACTTTATCAATATCTTGATGTGTTGCAATTGCAGCTCCCGCTTCTCTGCCATACCCGTTCAAAATATTTACTACACCTGGTGGGAAGCCTGCTTCCTTGATCAAATTTGCAAGAACAAGAATACTCAATGGAGTTTGTTCCGCAGCCTTCATCACAACAGCATTACCACATGCCAAAGCGGGACCTAATTTCCATGCAGCCATACCCAATGGATAGTTCCATGGAATAATTTGGCCACATACTCCTATTGGTTCCTTGATTGTATATGCAAATTTTGCGACACCAGTATCAATCACTTGCCCATGTATTTTATCGGCATATCCACCATAATATTTGAAAACTGCTTCCACCTCGTTAACATCCGCAACGGCGTCATTATAGATCTTTCCATTGTCCCAAGTTTCGATAGTTGCAAGTAGTTCTGTATGTTCGGCAATGATAGTGGATAGCTTAATCATGAGGGAACCGCGATCAGTAGGGGACATGTCGCGCCATTCAGGGTTACGCATGGCTGCTCGAGCTGCTTTGACTGCGGTATCGACATCTTCTGCTGATGCAGCATATACGGATGTAATTTCTGACTCATCTCTGATCATGAAGTTAGCAGAGTCGTAATATGCCGAGCTGGAGTTTGACATACGAGGGATTGATAGATGTAATCTTTTGACCTGTGCTACTTTTCACCCATTCATTGTTAATGAATAGACCAGTTGGCTGAACATATTTCTTGCCATTGGGGGCAGTAAGCTCAACAGTAAGATCAGACATCTTGGCAAATTTACTGCTAAATGGTCTGTGATAAGGTCGTGACGGAAGGATAAAGGGCTTGGAAGAGAACTGAGTCTTCACTCGAGGAGCTAAATTAGATGAATGCGAGGAGAATCTTCGAAATGCTGTATTACGCAGATATAGTTGCAGAGGAGGGATAACTTTAAACATCTGAAGGGGGAAGATCAATGACTGGAAGATATACAAAGCTCTTTTATGTGAAGTAGGTTACTATAGATGGTGGAAGTGCGGGGCTTTTTGCTTCTGATTATTGTTGATTCGCAGGTTTGTCAAGGTTACAGCTTGGTGTGTGGTGCTTGGTGGGATGAAAAGATAAGGCCAATGATAATCAAATTCTAGTGGAGTTCTTCGGCTGGCCCTTCCTATAATGCATAAGCTTTACGAAGCTGTAGCTCCCACGCACCATTACCGACGATTGTCTCCCTCATCTCAATAGTAATCGCAATTCTTATCTATTCTAGACATCTCAATTCAATTTCAGTCCTTTATCAGATATTGAGATGATGATAAATTGTGATAAGTAAGAGATTCGTTACTAGAATGTTCCGGTGCCCTGGGGGAGAGCTGTTTAGAAGTGAGACCTAGACATCTCGCCTTCTCCTATTTATGTAAACTGCGCCTCCCACCAACTTAATGCAATCACACAGCATGGAACAGGT